TGAGTCTTGCAAGGTGTGTGGGACTAGACCAGTAGAAGGAAGAGGGCATGGAAGAGGTAGTCCTAGCAGAGGGAAGAGCATGAATGAAGGTAAGGAGGAGGGTGAGAACCAGCCTGGGATATATCAAGAACAAGAAGCAGGTGTTACTGAAATATAGGGTGGTAAGAATGGAGTAGGGGAGAGGAGTGTCCAGCTATGAGTCTACAGAGACAATGCCAGGCAGGGGCCAGATTGAGAGCCTTGTAGAACTAAGTACATTTGAGTTTTACCCTGAAAGATGCCAGTTTAGTTAATTTACCTAATGTTTACTGGATTTCTGTTGGGTGAAGTTTTTAGCACGGGGATTGGCGTATAGCAGGTGCTCCTTCCAGGCCTGTTGGATGAAAGACATGTAGACAAGTCCTTTGAACAGCTGATAGTCTAGCAGAGGAGACAGATACAGACATGAATGGTCCTGGTCCAGTGTAATGAGCTCCAGTGCTCTAGGAGCTGGAGAGACAGCTCATTTATGGCTAGAGAGGGTGAGGAGGGTGAAATTAGGGAGGTGTTATAGGTGATGAAGTCCTTGTGCTGTACCTTGAAGGACATGTGGATATGGGGTAAAAACATTCCAGAAGAAGGGAATTCCATGAGCAAAGACCTAGCCATAGGAAAACAGAGGGCATATATTGGCAAGTTAATAATGTTTGGCTGGAGCATAGGCAGCGTGAGAGCTCAAGGAAGACAAGATACGTAGGTGCCATTCATTCATTCACTCAAAAATGTTAAATAATGCTGGCTAACATTTATTAAGCACTTACCAAGTGCCAGGCACTGTTCTAAACACTTTATATGTATTGACTCATCTAATCCTCACAACAACCTCATGAGATAGGGATACTATTACTATAATGTCCATTGTATACGTCTGAAAATTTAGGCACAAAAATACATAACCACTGGTCCAAAGACACATAGATACTAGGTTTGAACTGGGGAATCTGACTCTAACCTCCATGGTCATAACCATTAGACTCTACTGCCTCTCGGAGCTGATGATTCAGACTTCCAGACCCTTTGTTCACTCTTGTCTGCTGCTCTGGGCTTCAATTATAGAGCTCTCAGTACTCTTAGTTCTCTGAGTGCCCACTTACGCTGAGCCTTTGCAGGAGAGATATATGAGAAGTATACACCATGACTTTACCTGTCCCTTAACCCCACAGCCAACTCATCCTGAGATCCTGCCAATGCTCTCTACAATCTCTCTCAAATCTATACTCTTTTCTCCACTACCATTTCTGTAATCCATGTCAACATGACACCCTCCTAACTGGTTTTGCTGCTTCTCTAATTCCTTCTCCATACTGACAATCAGAGATTTTTCCAAAAGTGCAAATCTGACCATATTGCTCCCTTGCTTAAACCTCTTCATGGTTCCCTATTGTCTGGACTCTAGAGCAGTGGTCTCCAAGGTGAGGTATGCAAGATGATCCATAGGGTAAGGAAATAGAATATTTTAATTATATGATTGTTTTTTACCTTAAAAAATAGGAAATTAAGCATTACTGATATTGATCTTTAATATACAGATTGACAATGACACACATATATAGTACATAAATAAATATACACAAATCATAAGTACATGCCAAAATGTTTGTACTGATAGGGATGTGCAGTCCAAAGTTTGGAGACCACTGACCTATAGAGTTGAAGATCTTTAGCATGGCATTCAGTGCCTTCCAAATGATGACCCCTATGCCCTCACCTCTTCCCTGCATTCATTTTACTTCTCTAGCTACACTGATGTGTAGTTCCAGCATTTTGCTTTGCTTTCTTACCTCTAGGTCTTTGCTAATACCATTCCTTTCTGATTGGAATGCCTTTCCTCCCCCTTACTCTGGCTTACTTCTCTTCATCTTCTAGACCTAACTCAGGCATCCCTTCGTTCATTCTTTCAACAAATATTTATTGAGTGCCTACTGTATGTTAGACACTGTTCTAGGCATTGGGGATACTGTAGTAAACAAAATAGACACAAAATCCCTACCCTTGTGGAATTTACATCTTAGAGGAAGGAGACAGACAATAAAATTTTTTTTAAAAAAGCAGATTATATACAGTGCTAATTTTAAGTGCTATGGAAAAACATTGAGCAGGATAAGGGGAATAGGAAGTGCTGGAGGCAGGAGCTAGGGCGGGGACAGTTTGGAGGAGGGTTGTAGTATTAAATAGAGTGGTAAGAGTAGACACCGTTGAAGTAACACTTGAGCAAAGATTTGAAGTTGGTGAAGGTGTTAGCTGTGCATATATCTAAGGGAAGGGCATCCCAGGCAGCAGGAATAGCCTAAGGCAGGAAAAACCCTAAGACAGGAGTATTGCTTTCGTATTTGAGGAACAATAAGGAAAGGAGTGTGGATGGAGTGGTGTAAGCAAGTGGGAAAGTGATAGAAAATTGAGGAGAAAGAGGTAATGTGAGGCCACGTTGTTGGAGGCCATTGGAAGGATTTTGGATTTTTCTCTGAAATGGAGAGCCTTTGGAAGGATTTGAGCAGAGAAGTGACATAATCTGACCCAGGTTTTAACAGAATCTCTGTTTGTTAAGAATAAAACTGAAGGGTGGAAGGGGACTACTGTAATAATTCCAGGTGAGAGATGATGATGGCACAGACATGATGGTAGCAATGAAGATGATAAGAAGTGGTCAGATTTTGAAGATGCAGACAATATTTACTGATAGATTGAATGTGGGTTGGGAGAGAAAAAGAAAAATAAAGGATAAGCTCTGAAATTTTTAGACTGAGTAACTGGAGTTGCCATCAACTGAGATGGGGATGGCTGCAACTAGAGCAGGCTTGGTGGAGGACAGGGAGATCAGTAGCTCAGTTGTGCTCAAGTTAAGAGATGTCTATTAGACAGCCAGGTAGAGATGTAGAGAGGCAGTTGGATATACAAGTCTGGAGTTCAGGAGAGAGGACTGGGCTGGAGAGGAAAATTTCAGAATCATCAGTATATAGATGGTGTTTAAAGCCATCAGACTAGGTAAGATCACCCAAGGTGTAAGCATAGAAAGGGCTAAGGACCAAGCCCTGGTGCACACCTGAGGCACTTCCTGTAGCTGTCAGGTTCCCTCCTCTGGGTTCCCCTATTCCTAGGTACACCCCCACCAGACTTTCTGGTCACAGCACTAATGACCCTGTGGTTACTGCCAGCGTCATCTTCCTCATTAGGCTTGGAGTTTCCAATCAAATGGATTAATTTCTGAGTCCACAACATGTCCTGTACTTAGGAGTGTACCAGGCCAGGACAGTATGGCTTCAAACTGTGTCAAATGAGTGTTTTCTAATGTTTTATACATCACAGCACATACAGACAAATGGTAACATTCATGGCACACACTGGAGCAAACCGAGGTTACTACTGGTCCCATGGCACCTTGAAGGGCTGAGGGGATCAATATTTTTGAGTATCTGTACCGTGACACAAGGATTAGGAAGCCTATTCTAACCAATTCCTTCCCTCCCCTCCCCTACCACCTTCAGAAAAGCTGCTGGTGGCATGGACTGAGGTGGGGCTGCCCCTCCAAGATGTGTCTATGGCTGCCTGCAATTTCTGTCACCGCCCTGTGCACTTCGAGCTCATGAGTGAATGGGAACGTTCCTACTTTGGGAACATGGGGCCCCAGTATGTCACCACCTATGCCTGAGAAACCAGCTGCCTGGGATCCCGACCCCACCTGCACTTCACTTGGGCTGGACCTCCTTTCTGCTTCACTGTGTGCCTCTAGCTGACTTGAACCTCAAAATAAAGAGCAAACTGCAACACTTGTAGGTAGCTCTTTGTTGGACACAGGCAACTGCACTAGGCCTGACCTCTTCAGAGAAGTGACAGTCATGAGGGAACCATAGACCACTTGTTGGTCTGACCACCCCATTTTACTGATAGATAAACAGACCCAGAAAAAGAAAATGGCCAAAAACCACAGTGAGCTGCACAAAGAGCTGGGGTGCTTGGCAATTTATGAGATAACTCTTTCCCAATGGTTTCAATAAAAATATAGGGATTGACTCTTTACTGGTAAACCAGGAAACCTGGGCCTCACATAGCCCCTGAAGTCAGGAGACAAGGTCTGCCCTAACCAAACTGCCTTGGGGGGAAGAGTGGTTCCTCAAAACTGAGGAGCTATTTTCCAGAAAGGGGAATGGATATCCTCCTCAGTCTATTATCCTCTTTCCTTCCCACAGCACCTTATAGAACAGGACTTACCAGTCTGGTTTCCCAAGGTGAGAAAATAGGCTTGGCTATGGTAAGCAACTTGTTTAAGGCAATGCTTCCAACTTTCGAGGTCAGAGCACACAAAAAATATTTGCATGGCACACTTGTGTAAAATAAGGCTACTTGCTGAGGAGGCTTGTATGGTCCCAGGTCCTGCCTGGCAGCTCTGAGGGCTGAGGGATCCATATCTTGTCACCCTGTAGCCTATTTGTTGCAGCTGTGGAACGCATAAGTTGGGAAGCTCTGGTTTAAGGCCACACCATACTCACCTCCCTTGCTGGTTCAACTTCAGCCCTTTATGGTAAGCACCACTCCTCCCTCTTCCCCTCTCCCTGAAAGTTGTATCATCAGGCCACAGGCAGTGGGCAAACCCAGCATTGTGGTAGCTTCTCTAACTCAACTTTATGGAGCATGTCTAAAATGTCCACACGATGTGGTGTACTGAAACAGACACAGACTTTATTTATGCACAAACGCATTTCCCAGCAAGGTAGACTGGGGTTTAAAAGCACAGTTCCTGGAGCAACTGGTTCCCAGGTACTTCTGACAGGAAGATGGGAAGTCGGGTGAGGGACTGGGTCACAGCATCAAGGTGCAAAAAACTCACCAATGAGGAGAAGCAAAGCAGGAAGAGAGAGGAAGACTGGCCTTGGAGGAGGATAAGAAAGGGAAAAGGGAGGGGTCCTTGAGGGAGGAGGAGGAGAAAGGAAAGGGGGGCCTTGGGAGAAGAGGAAGCAGCATTGGGTGCTTAGGAGGAGGGGAGCTGGCCCCAGATGCTGTACAGGGTTGACTAGGCCTAGACTGGTTCAACTGGGTCTTCTCCAGAGGAAAAAGTTACACCGGGAGGAGGGGTCAGTGGGAGGACCTCGGGGCCTGGCACACATGTAGAAGCAGCGGCCCAGATTAGGCCCTGGCTTTTTCACAGTCCGTATTACACATGGCTCCCCATGGCCCCAACAGAGGGGCATGGGTGAGGGGCCCCCCAGCACAGACTTCCAGCACAAGGTCCTCACCTCCTTCTCATACTTGGCCTCTGAAGCCTTGGCCTGCACTTCCACCACTTTGGCTGCTGCCTCCTCTTCTGTGGTCACTGGGGTCACGAGGGAACCCATCAGGCTAGGAAGCTCCAAGTCTGGAGAGGCTTGAGGCCGGCTAGAGGATGGCTGGAAGTAGCTCATCAGGTTCTTCTGGCCTCTGCTGGAGCCAGGCTGGCTTGGCCGAGGCCTGGTTGAGCGCGCACAGGCTTTGTTTTGGAGTGTCTGTACCCGGGTTTGATTGCTGAGCTGCAATGCCGACTGCCCAAACACAGCATCTTGTTCAAGGCGAACTAGGAAGTGAAGAATCTTGAGCTGGGTGCCTGCGAATTCTGGGAGGAAGCGGGTACATAGGGGTGGGCACTGTTTTGTGGGTACAGAGGACACGCTCAAGACTGCGCCCACAGGGCAGTGGTCAGAGCCCATCACCTCAGGCAGCAGGAAGGAGTCCTGGAATGTGTCGATGACCAGGGCCCTATCCCCCAGCACATAGTCAAGCCGGGAGCCATAGTTGAGATGGCGGGCACCACTAACCGCTGACCAGCAGGTGAAGGCTCCCTCCTTCTTTGGTTGAAAGCAGCGGTAGCTATCGATGAAGGGCCCTACATGGGCCCCAGCTTGGCAACCCAGGACACTGAGCAAGCCATCCATCCACTTGCGCCCTGGGTCCTCTTCAAAGCATTCCTGGGGAGGAAAGGGCAGGGGAGGATGAAAGATAGGCAGAACTCAGATGCCTAAAACTGGAAGGACTTAGACCAACTGCTTTATTTTACACATAAGAAAATTTGGTTGTCCCAGAGAGGACTACTGCCCAAGATCACAGTTTAGAACTGTAAAAAATGGGATTAGACTTCCATCCTTGTTGATTTAAAAACTCATGCTTGTTTTTTTCCCTCTGCCCCAGGCTGCATTTACCTTGTATTGTTCCATAAATACCAAATCTGAGTTTGTTTGTTTGCCTAATCAAAACAATTCCTAGAACTACTCACCAAAAGAAGAAAACAGGAAGCTAAAAGTGGTTGCCTCTAGGGAGTAGGGCTGGGGTTAGGAGTTAGGAAGACTGTTGGCTTTTCATTTAAACCCTCCGGTAGTATCTGATTTAGCTTGTGTGTACAAAAGCCCTCACTGAGTACCCCTAACCACAATGTCCCCCTCCAGCTGAGGGGCTCCAAGGATCCATGTTTGAATACTTCCTTTGGCTCTGATCCCCAATCCATCCATTCAACCCACTCACTCACTCATTCAATGTAACAAATGTTCATAGAATACCTACTATGTGCCAGACAAGCTAGGGACAAAGTGAAGACCTGATCTAGTCCTGGGGACCAAGGAGGCTTCCTTTTAGGAACTGATCTGGAGCTGAGATCTCAAGGCTAAGCAGGAGTAACCTAGGAAGAGAGTTTCAATTGAGAGAACAGCCTCTATGGTGGGCCTCTGGAGGGAGAGTACAGTGAAACCAAAAGACTTGAGTGGAAGTGAGACTGGGAGCCAGAATACCATCTAGAAGACTACTACAGTAGTCCATGTAAGCAAGAAATGATGGTCACTTAGACTAGCGTTTTGCCAGAGGAAACAGAAAAATCATTGAAATTAAGAGATGATTTGGAGCTGGAATCAACAGTACTTGCTTACCAATTGAATATGTGAAGGGGGACAAAGAAGGACAATACTAGCACACTTCCCAGGTTTCTAGTTGGAGCAACTGAGGGGATGATGGTGCCATTTAGGGAGATAAGACTAGAAGAGTAGGTCTGGTGGGAAGTAGACATATTCTGCTATTTTGGAAAGACTGTGTTTGTCACAATGGAGCCCTAGTGGCACAGTGGTTAAGAGCTTGGCTGCTAACCAAAAGGTCGGCAGTTCGAATCCACCAGCCGCTCCTTGGAAACCCTGTGGGGCGGTTCTACTCTGTCCTATAGGGTTGCTATGAGTCAGAATTGGCTCGACAACAATGGATTTTTTTAGTGTTTGTCACATGACCAAATACTATTAGTTCTCTTTTCCTTGGAAGAAGAATGTAGGAGGTACACTTGAGAAACCTAGGAAAGTTCTGAACTAAGAGAAGGCATAAAGGTATGTGATGCTATCACAGGAAGTAGAAAGATCAGACTCAGGTGAATGCCTGCTGATGAATAAGGCAGGGAGGGACTAAAGGTTTGTACTTTGTACTGTATACTCTCCACCCCCTACCACCCACCCCACATCACCACCACCACTCTCTCATTATCTCCTTTAGCTCATTTTTCCAGCTGGGAGCCACATCTGTGTTTATATGGTTCTTCTGTATCTCATCAAGGAAGTTTGCTACAGCCCCTTCTTTGTGCCAAGCTCAGTGCTTAGTTGGACTGTGCCAGAACAAGTTACTGATCTCTCCACGAGGCAAGTGAAGGTGAGAACTGGCTTGGAGATTCTAGAACAGTGGTTCTCAAGCCTGGGTTCACAATAAAATCACCCTGGGATATTTTAAAACATACCACTACCCTGGCTTCACACGCAAAAGATTCTGATTTTATTGGTCTGAGGTGGCACCAACATATTGATATTTTTGTAAAAGCTCCTTGTTCTAATGTACAGTCAGGGTTTGAGACCCACTGGCTGAGAGGTTACTATAAGAAAAAAGACATAGAAAGGAGGAGCAGCTCACTAATTCAGGGCACAGTGAGCAAAGCCAGAATGAAAATAGCCTTTGCAAAGGGCAGAGAGGAGATGACCTGCATGCAGTGGATGAAGTGTGTAGGAATACTGAGGCTGGAAATAGAGACTGAGCACAGACCAGAAAGAGCTTTGGATGCCAAGCCTAGATATCTTCTTCTCTACATCACAGAGTTACAGAGAAGTACTGAAGGTTTATGAGCAGGAAGTGCAGTATTTTAGGGAAATGACCAAGGCAATGTGGGGTTCCAGGCTCTTGAAATCTAGTTCCCAAAGGATTTTCTAGTCCCATCTCCGGCCACTCGCCTCCCTTCCCATGTCACCCTCTAACAAGAATGGGACTTGCATTTCCCCAGGTACATCAGGCAAATTCTCATCTTGGAGCCTTTGCCCATGCTAGAATGCTTTGCTCCCCTCCCTACCCCCAAGCTCAGTTCTACTCATCTTTTAAGATTCAACCATTTTTAGATGCCTCCGCTGATGTCCAGACTAGCCTAGGAATCCTATCTATGGGATCCCCTAGCCTTCTGGGCTCTCCATCTCTACCTCAGCCCTGAGGACACCATTCTATAATTGGCTAGTCATGTGTCTATAGCCCACCACCACACTGAGAGTTCCAAGAAGCTAAGAGCTAGATCTGAATCGTAACTGAGTCCCCAGCACATAGCTCAGGGCCAGACCAAAGGCAGGGTCGGTGATACCTACTGAATACACCACCAATCCTTAGTGCTTTGAGAATAATTTCAAAGTTGGCTCTCTTTTTCCATGAAGGAAGTTGCCACCAGCCCAATACCCAGCATTGGTTTGCTGGCTGAGCAGAACCACAGTCAAGAGTAGAGCCAGGGGTCTGCAGAGCCTTACCATATTGACTGCATCCCAGTGGTCAATGGGACGGTGGGCCGTGTTCAGGTCACCCAGGATGATAACATGGCTAAAAAACATGAAGTGGGATTGTCAACTGGACAGTCAAGAAAGGGAAGCAGTAGTCCTGACTTCATATACTTTTTCCTGGACCCAAGAGCTCAGATAGGCCACCTCCCCAATTGGGGCTTTCTAACTAACAGCAACTAGTAGCAGCCTACTGCTCCAATCTTACCATATAACCTTGCTGCATTTCACACCTTACCAATTCTGATCTCCAAAGGTCATATTGTTCCCAGTTTGACCTGACTGCCTCACTGATCTATACCTAATGGCATCTTTCTGGTACTTCAAAGTTGAGCTCAGTTACCACTGTACCCCTTCCTCTAGTAATCATCCCTTGAGTATGCCAGCCTACCCTCACCTTTCCTGTCCCTTCCTGGAAATCTTTCAGTCTTCCCTGACCAAGACTTTTAATTTTCCCCCAGGCATTTTACCTTCCTTATCTCACTTCATCCTAAAACTATTCTGTGAGGTAGGAATTCATACACTTATTTGACAAAAGAGAAAAGACAGGCAGGACTAGCCTTGGTACTCACAATGAGTAAAAAGGGAAGCCAGGATGGGTGCTCAGAGGTATCTGACTACAAAATCCATGTTTTTGACACTTTTTCTTGTCCTTACAGCTCTTTAAGAAAGCAGGGACTCCTCAGGTGAGCATACATACTGGTGTCTAAAACTAGGTTGTGAAGGAACTTAAAGTCAGTGATCCCATATCCCTTCCAATGAAGCTTGGCACAGGGCTGGGCACCTGGGACAAGCTCAAGGAAGTCTTGCTGCCCAGGACTACAGTACCTGCCAGCCGCCAGGAGGGCTTCTGCTCGCATCTGCAGCAAGCGATAGAAATGCATCTTAAAGGCCAGCCGTTCAGGCTTCCCAGGGTCCGCATGGGGGCAGTACACATTGATTAGGGTCAGGGTCCTCTCCTGCCCTCCCCATGTGCTAGGAAGAAGAGAAATTCCCCTCTCAAAAAAGGGGGTCATTTTCACACCTCCCCTCACCTCCCACACACCATGTGGCTTCTATTTCCTGGTTGTCTGTGAGATGGAAGAGAAAAAAGGGGTTAGAGAGACATGAATGAGCTGGCATGTACAGCTCTTGGGGAATGTCTACAGGTGAGTCAGGGAGAGTGGCATCTATGATGACACCCAGGTAACCAGGTGATGGTGTTGCCATTCACAAAGACAGGACACCCAGAAAGAGGAGCAACTTGGGGCAAATGAGTTCAGCACTGGTTAAGTTGCCTTTGAGGTACATATGGTAGTAAGAGAGCCAGACTTCCAGGCCAGCACCTCTACTGTAGTGATGGGGAACTTGGAACTCAGAGGGGAGCAGGATTTGCCTGAGGTCACAAAGTGAGTAGCCTAGCCAAGACGAGAAAGGAAAGGCAAGTCGGGAAACTTTTATGTGGTGAATGTATGTTTATAAGGTGAGCTCTGGAGTCACCTCACTAGCACAGTGGAACCAGCAGTGCTCAGCTGCACGGAGATGTAGGCTATTACCGAATCTTGTGCTGTGTAAGGAGGGCCCGGCCCTCACTATCCAGAGCCCGAAGTTCCTCTTGAGTGAACTCATCCATACTTCCATAGCAACCCACGTCCCCATTCTGAGTGGCAAGCAGGCCACTCAGGCCTTCTTCAGCAGCCACTGGGGTAGCGCTGTCCTTACAGAAGGTGGCTACACCTGGAGACAGATAGGGTACTCTGAGCAGGACTGGCAGCCAACAGCCTGTTACACAGCCTGTCCCCCTCCAACTGCCCCCATGCACCTGAGTCATCTTCATGAAGTATGGCTCTGTTGACCAGTCTCCAAACTCATGGATGACTCCCTAGAGTTTAGGGCAACTCTATTCAAACCTTGGAGTCTCAGTTCCCTCCTCTATAAAAGCCACAGAATAATATAACAGCTAATGTTCTAAGTGTTTTACATGGATACATGATAAGTGCTCAGTAAGTGTTAGCTATTATTATCACGTGGATTAATTCACTTAATCCTTGTAACAACCCTAGGAAATAGGCATTATCTGCATTTTCCAACTGAAGAATCTGAGGCACAAAGAGGTTAAGTAACTTGCCAGAGGGCACAGAGCTAGGAAGTGAGCCAGGATTCAAACCCAGGCAGTCTGGCTCCAGAGCTCACACAATTAACCAATACACTACTGTGCTTCTGAGGTCCAACAGGGTAATTTTATACGTAAAAATTATACTTCATACAACTTAATTTTATGTGGCTTCAGCTCTGTTGTGGACTAAAAACCTAAATCTTTTATTATCTTCTCATCAAATATTGGAAGTCTTTCCCTGCTACCTGCCTCCATCCCTAATTTAAAGAAAGTCCCATTTACCAGAATAGCCACTTCGGTTGCGGCTGAAGCTGAAATAGGAGTTATAGCCCTCAACGATAGCCAGGGGCTCTGTCAGCACATCCCCTGGAGGGGGGAAAAAAGTAAGATTAAGTCAGAGATAGACCTAGGACCCAGGAACACACAAAGGCCTATAATTACAGATATAGGCTAATTCCTTGAATACATCAGAGTTGGGAGGGAAAATGAGGGGTCCGTGATTAAGAGGAGCTAGAATGGTGGGGGATAGAGAAGGAATTGATGTCAGAATAAGAAGGGGGGGAGGCTATGGAGTGGGAGGGGCAGTATTAGGTGGGAGGAAGAAAAAGAGAGTGGAAAGGACTAGGTGATGGGAGGGAGCTGGGTGTGGGAAGTAGAGATATTGGAGAGGGAGGGAATTGGGAATTTGAGAGGGAGAGAAGATTAGGGGACCTGAACTGGGGACAGAGGGAGAAAAAGCTAGGGATTATGAGAGGTGGTATGCAGAAGAGGGAAGGAATCAGAATATTGAGCTGGGATGGGAGATGGGTGAGAGGGAGAGGAAATTTCAGGGGGTCTAAGCTTGGGGTCTCTGGGTGCCACAAATGGTTACAGTGCTCAACTACTAGCTGAAAAGTTGGCGGTTCAAACCCACCCAGGGGCACCTCAGAAGACAGGCCTGGAGGTCTGCTTCCAAAAAGTCACAGCCTTGAAAAACCAATGGAGCAGTTCTACTCTGCACACATGGGGTCACCAAATGGAGTCGACCCCACTGCAACTAACAACAACAACAAGCTTGGGGTGGGAGATGAGGTGGGTATTAGGGGATCTGAGCTGGGGAGGACAGATGGGGGTGGATAAGGGGAACTGGGGATCTGAAATGGAGATGTGAAGAGGAGGAAATTAGGGAGTCTGAATGGGGGGGCAGGACAATGAATGGGAATTAGAGGATCTGAGCAGGGGTGGGGGGTTGCGAGGGGGAGGGAATTAGGGTTGTGAGCTGAGGACATGAGATGAAGTGGGAACTAGGGGATCTAAACTGAGGTGGGGCACGGGGTTTTAAGGGGGAGGGAATCAGGATTCTGAGCTGGGACCTAGGAGGAGGACACTAAGGATAGGAAAGTGGGAAAGTAAAAAGAGATGGGTTGGGGGCAAAAACTGAGAAAAGGGAAAGTATGGTGGGGTCCTGGATTCATGAGCGCTCACTGGTCACTTTGGTCTCCTGGAAGCAGACGATGTCGGCATCCAGCTCGTCCAAAAGGCGCCCCAAAGTCGTGGCGGCGCAGTTGTTGGGCTCCTGGCATACCACCCCTTGTAGGGGGCTCCGTATCCCATTGATGTTCCAGCTCACCACGCGCAACATTTTGATGTCAAACTGCAACGCCTCCGGGCCGCGGCGAACCTAGCCGCCAGCAAGCGATTGCGCTCGGAAGAGGGCTAGGCCCCGCCTCCTGGACGTATTTGCGCATGCGTCCTCCTGCGTGCTGCACAGGGGTCTGTCGTACCCGCGCACAAGGGGCGGGGTTCGAGCCTCTCTATTCTCAATGGCGGGAGGAGGGACTGGGTGAGCTGAAGGGGGCGATGCGGACGCCAAAGGAAAATGGAGAAAGGGAGGTTTGCAGTTTTGCTCCCGCCCCTCGGGCAGCACACTCGCCTGTACACCTGAGTCTTACTGAGCTTCTCCTCTGCTCAAAACCACCTTGGGATCTCGCCACTCCGCGCTTCGGAACCGGAAGCAAAGCTGCAGCGACGGAAGCTCTGTCCGCAGTGGGACAGTCCGCCCACCTAAGGGCGCAGATGGCTGTGACGCTTGCACCCAAGGAGTGACTGATGGAACTGCGCTACCTGTAGAATGACCGGGGGGGGAAGGGGATGCGTGCGTGCGCGCGCGTGCGCGCGCGCAGGGGGAGGTGGAGGGGTTGGGATGGAACAGGGAACTTCGTAGCTGGAAGAGGGAGCGGTAAGAAGGGTTCTACTGAGGTAAGACTTAGGAAGAGGCTCTGCAGAGTGGCAGTATGGGGATGGGACTCATAAAAACCAGTTACCATCCAGATGATTCTGACTCATGGCGACCCTATGTGTATCAGAGGAGAACTATGCTCCATAGAGTTTTCAATGGCTTGTTTTTTGAAAGTAGATCACCGGGCGTTTCTTCTGAGGCGCCTCTCGGTGGACTCAATCCGCCAAACTTTCGGTTAGCAGCCAAATGCATTAACTAGTTGCACTACCCAGGGACTCCATTTTGGGCCTCATAGCATCCCAAAAAAATGTGGCCTGACATGTATTTGCTCTTGGCCCCACTTCTCAGAGGAGTAAAATCAAGGCCCAGAGAATTTAAGTGGGCTACCCAAGCTTCAGAGCAGCAGTGTTTCCCAATGCAGCCCATGTCTCTTCCATATACATGATCTCATTTCATTCTCAGTACAACCCCGTAAGGGGCATTGAGGCTAAGTAAGAGAGGTTGAGTGAATTCACCTCAGTCTAACAGTCAAAGCCTATCTTAATCAGCTCAAGCTTTGCTTCCTGAGTACATTTTTCCTGATCACACACCTCCTGAGTTAGGTCTTTTCCTTTGGGCCCCCACAGCACCCTGTGGCCCATTTTGTCATAGTGCTTATCACAATGCAGAGCTACCATTGATTTCCATTTGTGTTGCTACTAGACTGCCAGCAGCTTGAGAGCGATGACCATTTCTGATTTATATTGTTAGCTACAGTCCCTAATACAGGACACAGCACATATTAGGTGGCAATATATATTTGCTGAATGAATGAATGAACAAAGGACAATAGCAAGAGCATCAGATGGTTCATGGCTTATTTTTGAGAGCATAAAAATAGAAATAATAGACATAGCCAATGTCCAGGAAGAAGCATAACTGCATCCTTAGGTTCCTTGCCCAGATTTGCAGCAGCATTTTTTTCCATTATTCCACAGTTTTAGAGCCACCATCCTCAATGGCTGCAGAAAGGACCCAATCAGCTGCTTTTCCTCCTGGAGGACTTCAAGGTTGCCTCTCAGTTGTCATCAGAAAATAGCTCTGCAATTTAAATAAAATGTTTTGGTGCCTTGAGCTTTTTCATGCTTTGGGAGTTATTGGCTCAGGGTTGAGTCCCAGGAGTGGTACAACTAGGACAAAGGGAATGAATGTTTTTATTGCTCTTGTTGCATGTTGACAAGTTACTTTCCAGTAAGGGACTTTGCCCATTTACACTGAAGACCAGTCTGAAAGTCAGCCCTAGTGAAATCCAGATCTCGCCTGTCTCCATTGTTGGTTTTAATTTCCTTATCCTGCAGTGGCTTGTTAATATTAGTTCTGACCTTTGGGGCAAGGTGAACACATAGTTGGCCTGAAGAGAAAAGGCTCTGGGTGGCTCAGGAACTTCTTTGGCAACCACAACAGCTGATATTTCAACAGAGCACACCCCTCCCCTTACCAAGGGTACTTCCCCAGCCTTCCCAGGGAACCAACGAAAGCCTCCAGCCTCCCTCTTCGATGCCACCCACTGGACCTGCCTTGGGGGTCTGTAAATGCAAGAAAGCCGGGTGTCAGATAATTAGCAATGGAAGGAAAAACCTCTAAGAGAACAGGTAGGTGAGACAGAAGGAAAAGTACTTTGGAGTTACACAAATCCACATCCACTCTTTAGGCTCTTTGGCAAAATTTCTTTGGATAGGTGGGCAGTTGAGATGTGGATTAAAGGGATGGGAGAGTAGGAGGAAAATTCTGTCTATATCTAATCTGTCTGTATCTAAATCTAGATCTATCAATCTATACACATTTTTAAATCCATTCTGACCTGTCTCTAAGACACTGGTCCAAACGGCAATTCCTAGCACCTTTAGAAATCTCTCCAGCTTCTTCTATTCCAGTTTTGAATGACCCGAGTGGTAGAGATTATATCTCTTGCCTCCCCACTGGTGTATAAAGTAGGATTGGTTTGCTGTGACACTTTGAACAAGCTGTTTAGCTTCTCTGGCTTCAATAGCCTCAGTAAAATGGAAATCAGAATCCCTAGTTTACTGCCCTCAGAGGGCTGTCTGAAGGTCAAGAGAGGAGGGAGGACAAGAACCAAAGCTCTTTGGAGACATTTCAAGACTTCCATGCTCCATCTGAGATTAGTGATCTTACTTTTTCTGTATCCTCCACAAGCAATACCAGCAACCTCTTGCCCCCTCCCCAGCTGCTCTTCTCCCTGAATGACTATGGTATTTAGAGAGCCGCTCCTAGGACTAGGATGCAGTGACCGTTGAGCTCTAGGCATGGAGCTGATAAATAGTGGGGGGATGATGGGTCAAGGCAATGACTGAGAAGGAAGTGGATCCTAGCCTGCTGCCACAGAAGATCTGATATTCAGATACACGCACCTGGCCTCCACGCCCCACACCCCCAACAAATACCTTCACGTTCACACACTCAAAGAATTACCAATAGGTAGCACCATTTATGATTTTATGGCCCATTAGTACTGCCTTGGTGCTGCTTTTAATGGGATTCTCATACACACCCCATACTTGGGGAGGAGGGTCAGGATCTGTGGGGCCCCAAGAAGTTACAGTGTATACTTTTCCTCCTTAGAGATAACCCCGTTTTTTAATTTGCAGCTCAGCTCTTGATCTTAAGTAAGTCTCTGATAATGAGTGAACCCATTTTCTGCAACCACTTAGTTAGACCTTTTGAAGGGGACTTTGTTCTTTCATTTATTCTGATCTTCCCCATTCAAGGTTGAGAAATCTTTCTTGATGCCACCTTCTAGCTCTCAGACCAAGTTAATCCCACCACCCAGTTCCCCACATAGCTCTCTGTTACAACATTTACCTTGTGGAACTGGGATTATTTGTCCACAAATTCATCTCATATAGGACAGAGAGACAGATTGCACAAACACACATTGAGGAAGTGTCTCCTCTGTGCCAGGGCCTGAGCTGGACACTGGAAGCATAGATCATTGAGATCCAGTTTCCATCCTCAAGGAACTCTCAGTCTAGTGGGGAAGCAGATCAGTAATACACTGCTCAGATATATGGGAGTATATGGTCAATGGGAGAACCAAAGACAAAGCCTGTCTCAAGGATACAAGAAGGCTTCCCAGAGGAGGTGACCACTGGACAAGTCCTTGAAGTGTGAGTCAGATTTCACTGAGAATGGAAGGGAAGAGAAGGCATTCCAGGCTGAGCAAAGGCCCAGAGGAAGGAAAGTACACCATGTGTTTTGGGGCCCAGTAAGTCAGCCAGTGCAGTTTGAACATAGAGGTCTAAGAAGACACATGGCTGGAGAGGTAGGTTGGGACTTGAGAAAAGCCTTGAATGCCAGGCTGAGGTATTTCCAGAAAGCTTGTTTTGTTCTGCTTCTGGGATCAGAATTGGTAACAGTGGTGAGGAGTCTCACAGCTAATTCCAGGCAGTTTTAAGTTGGGTTTTCCAGCCTGGACCCCAGGTTTACCCTTTCATGCCTTGCCAAAAGCCTGCTAGCCTATCTCAGATTTCTTGCTGCTGAAATTATCTTTACCTTTTGGCAAGGTCATGAGAGCAAAATTGTTGACATAGAAGAGGGTTCATGTGATTGGCTGGATTACCTTGGGCAAGCCACTCCCCCCTCACTCCTGCCAGACCTGTTTCTCTGTGAGGCTGTGAGGATGTTTGTAAGGATAAGTGGTATGCTGTTGCTTTGTGGGCCATGCAAAACATACATGGTTATTATTAAGGTTATTAGTATTAGCGGGGTGATATCAGTTGGGAAACTTACTAGAATTAGGAGAGTTGTATCTCTTCCAAAGTCTAGTTCTGAGACTATAGAAGTTCTTTTTTTTTTTTTTAATATTGTGTTTTGGGGGAAGGTTTACACAGCAGTTTAGGTTCCCATTCAACAATTTCTACACAAATTGTTCAGTGTTCAGTGACATTGGGTACATTCTTCACAATGCATGAATATTCTCTTTATTTCTGTTCTGGTTCCATTTCCATTAATCTAATTCCCCTGCCCCTTACATTATCTTCTTTGTTTTAAAGTAATTGTTGACTGTTTGGTCTCATGTAGGTGATTTTTTTAAAGGAGCACAGTACTTACGGGTGATATTATTTTGTGAGCCAATCTGTTATTTAGTTACAAGGTAACCTTAGGGGTTAGTTTTGGTTCAAGGCGTAAAGAGTATCTCAGGGCAATAGTCTCAGGGAGTCATCCAGTCTCAACGAGTCCAATAAGTTTTGTTTTTTTTTTAAGGAATTTGAGGTCTGTTCCACATTTCTCTCCCATTCTATCAGGCTCCGTCTATTGTGGCCCTGATTAGAATGGTCAGCAGTGGTAGCCAGATACCACATCTAGTTCTTGGTCTAAGGGTAGATGAGACTATGGTTCGTGTAGTCTGTTTTTCCTGTAGAGCTAGTTTCCTCTTTGAGTTCAAAGACCACATTCTTAAAT